AGAGAGAGAGAGAGAGAGAGAGAGAGAGAGAGATGGAGAGAGAGAGAGATAGATTTTTATATTTTTTTATATTTTGAAATTTATTTACGCTATCAAATTACATAAATGTCACGATTTTTAAATAAATACTGCGAGGGAGGGCGAATTGACTATACAGTCTTCGAGTCAGCCACTCCGCAATATAAGGTTAATTTCAGAAAGTTAAACCATGAAAGACAATACGATAGATAATTACATAGATAATTGCGCAATCGTTGTAACACCTGTGCTCCCGCTGCGCCACCTGCTGACAAAGCTAGCGGCTAACCCCATTATATATGAGCGATGTATAAAAATAAATAAACTACAATTAAACTAGAGCACCTTTGTCTTCCTTGTGTTCAATGTGAGTCTCATTTTATCATAGGCTTCAGTAAAGACGTCTACAATCTGCTGAAGATCCGCCTCTGACTGTGCACAAACTACGGCGTCATCAGCATACTGGAGGTCAATAACAGATAACTGAGAGGTTTTGGTTCGAGACTTCAGTCGTTTGAGGTTGAAGAGGCTACCGTCCATCCGATAGATGAGGTCTACTCCAGCTGGAAGTTTGTCAGTGGTCAGGTGGAGCATGGCAGCAAGGAAGAGTGAGAAAAGTGTCGAGGCAATGACACATCCTTGCTTTACTCCAGTCCTAATTACAAAGGGGGATGTGACTGATCCATTGCATAGGATCATTGCATTCATGTCATCGTGTAGCAGACGGACGATAGTAACAAACTTCTGTGGGCATCCAAATTTCCGAAGGATCTTCCACAAGCCTTCACGATTGACAGAGTCAAATGTCTTTGTCAAGTCAAAGAAAGCCATATAGAGAGGTTGATAAAAGCACTGGAAAAATATCATCAAAGATGCTTAAGAAAGATCCTTCAAATCCGCTTGGAAGACAGGCGCACTAACGTTAGAATTCTATTACAAGCCAAGACAACTAGCATCGAAGCACAGGTCACCAACTTTGCTGGGCTCGCCATCTTACCCGAATGCCTAGCCACAGACTTCTTAAGCAAGTCCTATATTTCCAGTTGCGACAAGGTGAACGCACAAGAGGAGGACAAAGAAAGCGCTACAATGATGTACTCAAAGGCAACCTAAAAAATGTAACATCGACCCTAGAACCTGGGAAACTGTTGCGCTTGACCGCTATCAATGGAGAAAAACTATATGGGAAGGCTCTCAACACTTTAAAGCCCAAAGGAGGCAGCATGAAATGGAGAATCGCGAGCGACAGAAAGCACGTGCTGCAGACAGAATGAATCACCCTGACCCATTCATCAATCTCAACAACACCTGCCCACAGACATCCATAGCCTTCCCATGGGAGACAATCATCCTCGAACTGGAGGGATTGCCGATGATGATGATGACAGCACCCGGCAGATAGATGCGATATGATATGACTACTAGGCACTTAGGATATGACTACTAGGCACTTAGGATATGACTACTAGGCACTTAGGATATGACTACTAGGCACTTAAAAAAAAATACCCTAACCCTAACCCTAACCCTAACCCTAAAAAAAAAAAAAATTAAATTAAAGTGCCTAGTAGTCATATCATATCGCATCTTTCTGCCAACACCATGATGACATGCGTTATTGCACAAACATGTCGGTCATGACGTAAGACACTGTACGCCACTGGGAATTACCGTATGAAAACACGTCAAACCTTTCATTTGTTTTGCGCACTCGAGTCCCGCGGTGTTGTCTTTATTACTTTTATATGGAATCATATGAATACGTGAGAACTAATTTTAGCTTGGTGTACACAAACACACACGCACGCGCGCGCGCACACACACACACACACACACACACACACACACACACACACACACACACACACACACACACACACAGCACGCGCGCGCAAAAACACACAACACACACACACACCACACACACACACAAACACAACACGCACGCCGCGCACACACACGACACACACACACCACACACACAACCGCACGCGCTGCGCAAACATCACACACACACATCACCACCACACACACATAAACACATCACACGACACACACCACACACACACACACACCACACACACACACACAACACACCACACACATAAACACACACACAAGCTAAGGATGTAGGCTAAAGCGTTGACGGTCAGATATGACGTGTACAAGTTGACGTTATGACTACGCTAACAGCGACGCGCCGGTGTGCAGCGTGTCCGGTCCGTGCGTTAAATTC